CCTGAACGGCAAACTGCTATCCGCCATCAGGATAGCCCCTTACACGAAGAATGCCACTATCTCCTTCCCCCTCGGTGCCCTCAGCTCGCTGGGGGACAATGTCGTTGACAGTATTTTCGGCGCGGGTATTCTTAACGGCAACATGTCTCACCCCTCTGACGACTACCACGTGGAATATGTGCCATCCCACGAGCAGACGACGGACGGTGCTGCAAAAAGATCGAGGTCTGGAAAGACTCGCAAGACGACGGGAACAGTTCGAAGAGCACGCGCAGCGCCAAGGACGACAAAAAGACGGAAGACGGGGGTGTCGAAGCGCGCAGCGCCTAGAAGAACAGCAGGGACACGACGGAAGACCACCGGGCGAGCGAAGAATAGCGGTTTGGATGAATTCCAGACGGAAGGAATTCAAGAGCATGCTCCTGGATGCTGCAAAAAGCACGAGCAAGAGAGCAGCGAAACGCGCAAAATCGAGTGCCATTTCTAGGTTGAAATCGTCAACCACAAGTTTGGCACACAATGTCCTTGCTTCGGCGCCCGCGGCGGCTTCACGTTTCCATCAGCCCATCAGCAACAGCACCTTCCAGAACTTACGGGCTGCCTCCTCGACCCCGACGAGCGCCCACATCGAAATGGATTTTCGGCCAGTCGTTCCACATTTAGAGCGGTGCATATCTTTCCGAAATGGATTTTCGGCTGTTATTCCCCGGGTCAGTCGTCTCGACGCCATCAGAGGCGCCCGCGCCTCCTGTTCTTTCAAGTGTTATCGCGCGCGATACTAGCACTAGTGGGAGCAAATACCCCGCTATCCCCGGGCTTGAATTTCACAAAAAAGAATGATTTGACGAGCTTCTGCCTTCACTCAAAAAATGGGTGCAGAATGTTTTGCTCTTGGGTCAGAGCAATATGGGCAAGAGCTTCTTCATGAAACGGCTCCTTGCTCACGTTCGTCCGAAAAGGCTGTACGTCATTTCGAACACCTCCGCTGATCAATATATCCAACCTAACACGGTCTTGAAGCATTATTCCGTCATGCCTGAATCGATCGAGGATACGAGTATAGAACCGGAGTCCTACGTCATCATCGACGACATCCACATCATGAATCTCAAATGCTGAACGCAGAGGGAATGCCTCTATAAGTTCTTTACGATGTACAGCCATCATCTGAAATTGAACGTCTTCTTCCTCTCCCAGAGCTTCGACAACATAAAGGACATGAAGGTTAACACAAACTTTCTCTATCTCTTCCGATTCACGGATAAGTCGAACGTGAAGCGGTTTCTTAATTCGCTCTTCGGCGGCACGGGCAATAAACAGGCTCTCATCTTTAAACTGTACGAGAAACTTTTGACCAGCTGCGAGCGCCCGATCCTCGCTATGGACTGCACCAATCAGCGATTCCACCTACTATTGCGACGAAAAATCTATTGTGGTGGACTTTCAGTGAAAGTTTTGCTTTCTCCGTCATTACCAGAAAAATCTGAACAAGAATTAGAGAAAGAAGTTCGGGAGGGATATCACCAGATTTTTTAGCGTATGTTTGAAGAAAATGCAACATATTCGAGTCCGGATCGTCGATGGTCTACCACAGCGGCTCGAGCGGGTGGCGGATGGTTATCTGTCGGCCTTCCTCATCCCAAAGGAGCGGCGGCTGGAGGTCCTCCAGTTTATCGAGAGCCAACCCAAGCACATTATCAAACGCGCTAAGTCCTTTATGGAGGTCTTGGGTTATCTCCCCGAAGGGACCCGAGCAAAGGGCGCCGGAGCACCAAATTGCCACCGAAATTTCATCTCCTTCCTGCGCAATGCATTGCAGTATATACCAAACTATCCCCTTGCTAAGTTGAGCTTGCTGGAGCTAAAAAAACACCCAAGCGTAAAAGAGCTCTATGCCTTGTTTGAGGGCCACCCTGAGCTTATCAATGAAGAGTCGGTCCTGAGTGCGGTCAAATCCGGGTTGCTGAACTATTCTGAAGATACAGGCCAAGTTCGCGACAGCGTCGCTGATGTCCGTTTGAAAAACCAAATCGCGGCGCTCACTACAACCGCGCCCTCTCTCCAGACTCGGAAAGAGGGAGAGTTCGATCACTTGCTGCTGCTCGTCTTTGGCCGCTTTCTGGCAGGCCAGAAGATTCCCGAGGCCTTTCTCAAAAGCAACTATTTCACTCCGCGTGCGCAGCTGGTACAATTGTTTACGGAAAACCCTCAAGGGTTTGAAGCCAATCTCAGGGAGCCTCAGGCGGATCAGGATATGCGTCTTGCCATCGTGGCTGACTATCGCGTGCTTGTGAACAACGTAAACCAACAGTTTCTCAGCAGGTATCCTTTGAGGTGGTCGCTAACGCCGTAGTCGACTTCAGTCATCCCCAGTTTCGCCTGGCGAGGCAGAAGTTGCAGGAGATCAAACAGCATGCTCTTGCGGTACCGGAGTCAGGGCAGAAGTTCGGTGATTTGGCGGCCTTGATTGAGACCTACCTCCAAAACACCCGAGAGCAAACTTATAAATTATGATCGTAATTTTATGCCTGGAGGTATCAGAGGCAAGATGAGTAGCGATTCTGCCTTTATTAATGCGCTCCTCATTAACGGGAGCCGCATCATTAGCAAGTGTCTTGCTATATTGAACGCTCAGGGCCTTGTTTGAATGTTTTATGGACATGGCATTTTGGACGACCACTTGGGATAAGACGGCGTCTGCTTCGGTGATCAGTGATCCGGAGGAGCAGCTTGCTTGTTTGCAGGATGATGTGGTGCAAAACAAAACAAAAATTGGGAATGAGGATACTGAGGGCACTCTCTCTCATACTGTGACACAGCTGAAGGTAAACAAGCTCGACCTTCATGGCCTTGATGACCGTTTGAGTGGTTTACCGAGAATTGCTACAGGAACGCTGCCTGATCTCGTACGACAGGACGTTGTGGTGGCGCGGTTTGGAAGGGTGCGAATCTGAAGAATGGCAAGATACAGATTCAGAATCTTTGGATTGAGCGGACTGAAAACGAGTGGTATCATATGAGCAACGGTAAACTGCGAGAGGCTTGGGGTTAGAACTTCCATCTCTTCTGGCGAGGTGAAGGCACCTCTCTTTTCACTCGCTATGCCGCAGTCCCGCGGGTTGTCTCGGACCACCGGGGCACGTACGGATACAATTGGAGACGTACCTATAGGGTGTATTATCTTGAGTTCCCCTGATACATATCATGAGCATGGCGTTAGATTTGTGTATGACCCAAGCAGTCGAGATTTGGCTCCAAGCAAGGAAACCTCCTGTGACTAATTTAACGCGCTTCCGCTGCCAATACGATGCCGAGCAAGATCCACCGAGCTCGATCTCTGTATGGGAATACGCTTTTCACCGCACCACCCGTACGCAGCTGGAGACCGTTCTCACCCAAGCTCAGGCCGCCAAGCGGGTTGAGTATCGTCGTTCCGATGGCGTTGTGGGGAAGGTGGGACGCCCTCCTATGCGTATTACTCTGCAGGCGGAGAGGGGGGCCGGCGAGATGACATTCCTTTCACGAGAAAACATGAGCCCAACAAAATTGACCTGCTCACTGTGTGACTTCATAGCTCAGTTGGTCAGAGCACTGCACCGGCACTGCAGAGGTCATGGGTTCGAATCCCGTTAAGTCACCTGAATTTTTCAGGCTCATGAGACAATTGCTTAAATTGTCCAACAAAGTGCGAAGATCATATCTTCATTTAATTTCAAACACCGCACTGCATAAAAACACTTTCATATTATGCTAGCATAAAAACAAGAACGTACGCGAGCTAAGGCTGGGGCGCTTAGATTTGTGTATACTCCTTTTCAAACTGTGAGGTGCGATTTTTGTCGGGACCCATGTACACACAGTACGAAGTAATGTGTAAACGAACTAGGGCTGGGGCGCTCCGATTTATGTACGCAGCCTCCCAGACCGGAGTTGCGCCAGAACTGGCAGTATCTATACAACTAGCCCTAAGGCGCCATACTATTATTAGTCCGGAGTATAAGACCTAACATTGTTCAAATTCATGAAGAAAGTCTCAAATTCACTATTTTGCATTGGTTTATCAATGAAATTAAAATAGAGGTGAGACCCCAGCAAAATACCTTTTTGTTTCCGAGAAAATTATCAATAAATTTTGCCATATATTTTAATAGTAAAGGCACAGGGATCCCATTTCAAATAAAAAGAAAATCGACAAAACAATTTAGTTCTCATCGCATTTATATCCTCTTGGAAGTAAGTATTATTAAGCGATATATAATTCGTATAAATTGTCATTTATACCAGTAAATTTCACATACTTTCAATAAAAAAATGAGAAGAATATTTGGGATTTCTTGATTTATTGGTGTTATTAAATTTTACAAGAGCATGAAAATGTTTAATAATGATATTGTATCACCTGTCGTCTTCACTGCAGTGTATTCTTTTGATTCATTTTCGGATTATTTAGGGAATATTACTTACTTATTAATCTTGGTAACAGCTACCACCACATTTGCACAATGCTGTGCATGGAAGATTGGACTTGGTACATTTGCACAAGCCCCTACATGCTTTCTTGCAACCACAGTGCACCAGTTCGTTGCACGCTTTGGAAGCCTCTGGAAGAGTGCTCCATGTAGGAATCCATCTGCCATTATTTTGCCATCCCCACTGCGAAGGAAGCGGTAACTGTTGAACTGAAACTAACGACTGACCCCAAACATGACCAGCCTGATATGTTGCCCTCCGAATGTGCTGTACCAAGGAGGCTTGGGTTGGTGGAATGTGGTCGATTGTCTTAGTACCTTGTGCAAATATAGCTTGTCTAGCATCATTGATGTTGGAGAGCGGGCATGTGCGGGAATACATAATAATGATAAATCTTTCAATTTTTCCATTTCTTCTTCTGAGATGGATTCTTTTGAGATGAAAGAAGCTGAAACACACTGGTAACATCAGGAAAAGACTTCCAGGCTTGAAATGCAGTCTTTTTACCTTTTCCAGCAAAGAACGACACAGTATCACAACCAGTGACAGCATGAAAGAAGGGTAGGGCTTCACATTGCTCCCTACTCAACGAGCTTTGTGTAATGTTATGAATTGGTAAGTACCTCATGTGTTTACCAACACCAAAAGCAATCCAAAGTTCATCTACATCTAACTTGTGCACGTTTGCTATTGCTAACACAACAACATCTGTGTCTACAGTTCTTATGACAATTTTCCTCATTCCACCTTTCGCTGCATGGTTTGCATGAATGAAAATGCGCGTATCGGCCTCCTCGTGATTGCAGGAGCTAACTCATCTTTTCGATTGGCTTCGAACTTATTATGTCTTCCTCAAAAGTGCTTACAATTGTAACATTTGGCAGTTGAATCGATGTTGCTGCCTGACTGAGGTACTTGAAAAGTTCTTGTTTGTTGTCATCTGATCTTAAAATGATTTCCAGTTTGCAGGGATCACAGCCATGTCACATACTCTTCTTCTTGCCCCTACAGCGCCTCGCGATGAACGAGTACCCTGCTTAAGGCTGTCGGGTATATAACGGTCCCAAACAAGATCTATTCTTCTAATACCATTTGCTTGTTGAACAATATAAGGAACAAACACTGATTTGGAGTATTCTTGAAAGGTCTTACACTTCCCTGGGCTAAGCATGTTTACAATAGCTGCGGCATCCAAGATTTTGACATCAACATTTGGACAGGTGGTCTGCACATCAGCTTCGAGACAATCAATCAATTCTGATTTCTGGCCACTTCGCATCTTGTCCCCTGATGATAATGAAGGAGGAGTACTCTGGTTTTCATGCTTAAAAAATTCTTGGAGATTCCCTTCTCTTGACTGACAAGCAATGTACAACCTTGCAAAAAGATTGCAGTCATTCTTTAATGTTGTGACTTGAAGTTTCGTCTTGTTGGTTGTCGTTGGTACTGATGTTCCAAAAAGTGGAAGCTTATTGCGTTCAATTGTGTCAGTTATTGGTGTGTTACACTTTTCAAGTCTCTCTTCGACGTACTTAGTGTATTGTGCTTCTCCGATCTTTCGAGCTGTATAAATCGACTCTATAACACACTCAGGCTCTATTTCTTTCGTATCTACGACAATCAGATCCTTGCTATTTTCCATAAAGGGTTTCCAAACTCCTTTAATGCAGCAGACATTGATTTTACATCTTTTGCAAAGTTCTTTGGACAGATGGTGTCTGTTCGTGGTGAGTAATGTTCTTTGTAGAACACTGAACGCCAAAGGAACACTCAAACTCTCTTACCAGTCTTGCAATTTCAGGTCCTGCGATCATCCAACGTCTTAGGGCCGTTGGGCACTCGGTGAGGCCCACTGCTCCACCATCACCTTTTATCATTTCGTTCTCTTGCTCGTGGTTTTGGTCAAGGGACATCATAGAAAACGATGTTGGGACTTCTGAACCACAAATTTTCCATGTGCACTAAACTCTGTAAAAAGAGTAGGATGCGTTTTCTCTAATCGTAAGAGATCTCTCACATGTACTGGCAACCATCTAGAGTAGTTAGACAAGTTCATCGCAAAAAACCAAGGAAGTACCTTTCCAAGCACTTGTAAGTAGACTTGGAAGTTACCCTCTCTGGTAGCCTTAACAAACTGCAGTAGAAGAATTTCGAGGTCTAATACTGTCGCCCAGTATTTGAATTGCGGGCAAAGCTCACTTTGTTCTTTTATCCAAGCTTCATAACTTTTGGGGGGCTTGTCTTCACAACTTTCGATGTACTCCTGGTAAGCAATTTTCTGCATAAGGTAAATTGCACAGGCACTTACTTGGTGGACATAGCGAGATCTCGTCACGTGCGATCCTTTCAAAACAGAATCCGCTCTTCCACTTGTCATAACCTCAGCATGAATTAGAGCACTTCAAAGTAAAAATATATGTTAGTTATTAGATTGAGATTATAAAAACAACAAATCTACACCATACCTTGCCCACCCACTGTTAGTTAACCAATGTCCAATCATCTTTAATATTGCCATCTCAATATGCAGGCCACCCATCATTACCATGTACTTATCTTCACCGAATTCATTTTTGTTGTTCCACTGTATTTGCTTAGCGAGTGCATAGAGTGGTTGGTCCATCGCTATAACAGGAGTTTGATTAGGGTTTAAGAACTTAGTAGATTCTTTGACGGTTTTCATTGCATGCTTTATCATAGCCATAGTATGAGCATTGTCTTCAAAAAGTGGCAATAAAGAGGTGATTGCATTGGGCCTCAAAACTACGTTTTGCTCAGATGCAAAGTAAGCTGACCATGATAAGTAATCCTTTTCTTCAAGCTTTTCTTTGAGTAAAAGTTCGTCGACCCTTTTTAGCCATTTCTCCTCTTCCTTGATGCTTTTATTTATCAGGTCTTGTTTAGGTTTAAAAGAGCCAGTGACTTTGGGACAAAGAGATCCTTTTACCTTCATCTGTGACAGGAGTTACAGTTGTATAGAATTCAGGTAAACTGTTGACGACCTTTGACTTTGTGGGAGTGTTATCCTGTGGCACTTGTTCTCGTTCTTCTCCTTGTGAGTCAAGAGAAGGATGTTGTGTAAGGGAAATTGCTGTTCCATGAAATGAATTTTAGCGGTTCTTGAGGACGGATTGTGATCGATATTGTCAACTTGGCCTGTAGTAAAGATATTCTTTCTTAATTTTGGAGGACATACAACACCCTCCTTCTCATACAGTTTGCAACACTTGTTTCCCAGATCTGCAGATATCTGCATTAGTCTGTCATAAGAAATGCAAAGACCTAGCTTATAAAACTTGTCGACCAATGTTTTTTCTTGTTTCTGCATGGACAACGAGCGCCGTGGAAGTGGTTAATGGTGTCTCTCTTGACTTGTCATGTCGAATGGCATTGCTAGCACCTGATCGTACATGCTTTACTGAATTAAATATTAGCAGTTGGGAAATCGTTAAAGCGGCACTGGCTCCTGACACCTCTTGTTTCTTTTGATTATTTATATTTGGACCCTCTAAAATCATATTTATCAGGGCAAGTAAACTATCGGGGACTGCTTGTTGTTGGCATTCTGGTGTAAACGTGCCTTCAAAGGGTTCCCTTTTCAAGAACATTTTTTTTCGTACTATACTAGCAGCTTTTGCAAGGTACAATGCAGCGGTGTCTAGGTTCCTATTGTGTACAAAAGCCATAGCTGTTCCAATATCATTTGGCATTGCCAGCTTCACATCTTTACCATCTTTAAATGCATGCAGCTCTGGTATTTGAGTGAGAAGTCGTTCTTTCAGTCTTGTGGAGTTGATACGTCCTTTCACTTCTACTCCTAATTGTTCAAGTCTTGAACAATAGAGCTCTGACAATTGAGACATCTTGAAAACTGCTTCACCAGCTGCCAGGCTTTCACTAATATATAGGCTTAATTCTGCAAGGGCTATTGCCTCAGGTGTTATTTCATTTTTATCATCAACAGCACTATCTTGTGGTTGGTTTAATTTGCTTCTCTGACGGTTATAGAGAGATGTCAAGCATGATTTATGGTAATATGCATCTCTTGCATGCATATCACCTTGTGCTAATTTTGCTAACAGTTTGTAATCTTGAAGCGTCTCGCCGCTGATTGAACATTATTGGTAATTGACATGGTTTCTGCTTTATGCAAATCACCCTCTGTGCAATCACAGAAAAACATGATAAAGCATTGCTACTCTTACTTGACAATTCAAATGTCTTTCTTCTTGTTTTAGCTGGACTAGTAGCTCCTAATATTGCTGGATCCTCAGTTGAAAATTCCTCTTCACTTTTGCGCTTTTGTGCCCGCTGAAGCTTTAGCGTATTGCATTTATTATAGCACGATTTGTGCCATGATGCTCTGTGATTTCTTAAAGTATTTTCAATGCCTGTTAAAGTATTATTATAAGGCTAAATAAGTACAATTTATGGCTCATAGTTGATCTGTGAGTTTATTTCACTTTTAATTGATTAGGAATTCCTTACCTCTGCCATCATCAAGAGAAGAAAGTGGAATGTTAATAGGTAGCGAATCAAGTTTCTCGAATTCTTTCAAGTTTTCTGCAATTGTCTTGTAACTTGAGCCAGCAAGTAAAGTATTTGAAGCTTTTTCCGGACATAAAATCTTTTCTTTTGTGTCTTTTGACATAAGGCACAAAGGTTCCAGTTTAAAGACATTTTAAAAGCGAAAATAATCAAAAAATTATCGAGAAATAGCACTATATCGTCTGGAAATGCCAAATTAACTAGGCGACCAGGCTTTTGCCACAGGGAGCCCAAAATTTATGCAGTTTTCGAAATAACCTTTAAAAAGGGTAACTTTCGACAATTAATTAATTTTTACCGGAATTTTCATGGTGTTTTGTTGTTTTTATATAAAATACAACATTTTTATTTAACATTTTATATTTAAAACGGTTTTATAAAAGCCTCATTAAGCCCGCGATTTAAGCCGCTGACCAAACTTTTAATCGGCTCAAAAGTACCCTAAACAAGCTGATCCTGCTGGGGTCTCACTTTTATTTTGATCTATAAATCAAATTAGCAATTTGTGGTAAGTTTCATGCTTTCTTCACATGTTTGAACAATCTGACCAATTTTCGGAGCTTATCCTCCGGACTATATTTACTTTATCATAAACAAATGTTTGGGGCTTTTCAGTTTATGATCATTGATCATTCATTCATTGGACAGTTATACTACACATTGCTTAAGATTTGAGAAAACTAACATTGATTGCATGAGAAGCTGTTTACTATAAACTGTGATTTTGAGTCTTTTCTAATCAAATGAAGCTTTTTATTTTGACAATTTGACTGGAATGGTATTAAACCTGAGTATTTCACATACATGAAATGTTGTCCCATGTCACATAATGTCCCCTTTCTAACTGAACGCCTCATGTAGAGATGTCAAGGTGTGTTGATCTACGGCTCATACCAGATTGTTTGTCATAAATTACAAAGGGCTATTGATGTATGAAAAGCATTTTCTATAAAGTAAAAATGTCTTCCTATGTATGCAGATAAACCTTGAAATTTGGCAAAACAGCAAAGTATTTTTCATGATAACTAGGTAATTTTTCTGATGATCATTATAATTTCTAAACTAAATTATTTCACATTTACATTTAAACGAGCTTTGATCATATGAAAAGATATTTGTCATAACCAGTAAGCATGACACATGAATCAATTTTAACATTCATGTAATTATATAATTAAAGACATGTTTGTTACATTCTGTTTGTATTTGCAAATACAATGCTACTAGTGATTGCTATATAGCACACCTTGCATATACTTACAGGAGATAATAGTCTAGTGAAATGCCTAATAAACATTGATGGCATTAAGCTGTCCTTAATTGCAAATTTCATTCTGATAATTTTTGCTTAATCTTTGGAAGAAAAAAATTTTGAGTTTTTTTTCAAAAGGTGAATTTGCTGGCACTGTATGTGGAGATGGGTAAAAGGTTACAATAAACTTGCATGGTTTGAAGTTTGAGCTTTTCTATATCTATGAACTGTCCTTTGTAGTACCACATTTCTAACTTGACTCATTACATAGAGGTTTGAATGGGGGTCTTAGGTGGGTCTATGCCTACCTTTGTCTTTTTTGGAATAGCATTATTGTAAAATAAATTTTAAGTTCCTAGACATTCTAATGAGCCATATATATGGCATGATAATGAGCCTAAATATTTGGCAAAACATTCAAGTATTGTTCACTTCATTTATTTTTGAAAAAAACCTAAGCAGAATGTGCTGTTTTTACGCAAAAACGATGCCCACGAAATACATTTTGTATTGCTCTAAAAAGCTGAAAATGGCATTTTCAAGGCTCTAAAATTCAAAATTTCTCAGGGGAGAATGCCTCAGACCCCCAGGTGCGGAATGCCTCCGACGTTTTATGACTGATGTTTGAAAAATCCTAGATCCGCCCGTGTGCGAAATGATCACAATTTTTGAGCTGCTAAAAATTTGTTTGTAACAAAACGATAATTTCAACTATAATTGAACTAAAGCTACATTTTTACTATGATTTTCACGAATGAACTTCGACTTCTTACATTGAAATTTTGCACGCGTATTCCTAGCTCAACTTAGATTGATGAGTTTATTTTTAAGGTAGATCAACGTTTTGACATGCATGACATAATTCAACTTTATATTGAAGTCAAAACGATGTCTAGTGTTGTTATCGGGACTCCTCTTCTTTATGTAATCAAAATTCCAAAGTAATATGAGTGCATAATTGACGAAAACCGCAAGTTGTATATTTCTCAAACAACTTATTCTGTATATATGATCTATATGTTCATACCAATTTCCAAACATGGTTATACTTACATATAACGTTAATATGAACATAGCATGTTGAAGTTTTTCCACCATACAGAAAGTGCTTGTACGGAATTTTGTGCTGTCCTTTTAAGAACGACTGTGGAGAACTAATGTTCGACTTTCCCTCTCCTTCTTTTATGTATTTATGAGGACAAGTGAAGTTTTCCGGTTCACTCCAATATATATTTGCTACTCGTTTCCCACCTTCGAGGCTTTTGTTCACGACATTTTTTGCACACGAACATTTACCTGAAAAATTTTATTTAATAAACAAAAATAGACATGCATGGTCGTATTACCATATGTAGCAGGAGAGTGATGTATAACAAAGTCATTCGATCTGCATAAGAAACAGACCATGACAAGCTACATCCATTAACGATGAACGTAGCCACGGAATCAAACTGAAAAACAGTTTAATTTCTATTTTTTAGACTAAAAAGCCAACGACTTAACCATTCGATCTTGCTAAACTTGACTCTTTAGTGAGGAAATCCATGTTTCTGATACAGCAATGTTACCAATGTACGTAGGTCTGGAGTTTTGCATACGCAATAGATATGTAAAAAAATACAAGTATACCTTTTTCTACCTTAGGTTTTGCAAATTAAATCTTCTCCAACAGTAAACTTTTATATGAAAGTACGTATGTAAAGGCAAATGTAAAATATATAGATTACCTTCAAGTGGACAAATTTCACTGAACATCCTGAATCGTTCCAAAGATAATTTTTCTCTTCGATGCAACCATTAGTTAAAGACAAATTTCCGCACCTTTCTTCCGATTTATTTTTTCTTGAACAAACACATTCCATTTATCTTCACAAAATTCAAACTTTTGTTCCATCCCGATTTGAACGGCCAATTTAAGAGTCACGGCAAGCATCAACCACAAGATGACAACAAAACGCATCATTTTTTATCCTTAAAACTGCAATTGTATGGAAAATCATAGCTGCACAAGTTCGATGATAGAACAGTGAAAACATACAACTATTATTATCGTAAATATCAAAATATCGAAGCATATTGGTTTATATTTGGTTTATCTGTTTTTTCTTTGCTGATGGATAAAAACTTTAAATGCAAACGCAGAAATTATATACGCCAATCCCTACACATCTCCTTGTATCTCTCTTACAAGCGTGGAAATTAAGCCTTGTTTTTAGAATTTATTGGTTTTACAGCACACAAAAAAGTGGATTAGGAAATTGTTTTTGGAAATGAATAAGAAATTTGGGAAGTAAACATTTTTGGTGATGAATCTCATCTTCATCACGAATTTTTTTGCTGTAGATCATGCTCGTTTATTCATACAGTATCATCTATTATATAGTAAGGAAAATATCAAAAAATTGATGTTGTTATTGATTTTTTTTATAAGTCGTCCGCCGTGTCTTTTAATAAGGGACAGCATGAAGAAAATTAACCAGTCAGCTTAAAGCTTTTTTTATATTTCGCATACTAAATCTTTATCTATTTCTAAATCTTGTGTATGAATAGGAGTACCAAAACATATTTTCTAAATTTTGAATAGAAACGGGTTTTTTTTTCATAAACTTTTTAAAACTGTTTATTCCGTCGAAAAACTACGAATACAAATATCTAAATATAAAAACAAAAAACTAGCACAGATCTGCTGATAACAACTAAATTAGAATTACATTTGCCTAGGCTTCAATCTTAAGTTTGATCATAAAAATGTTCTGTCCTTATAAGAAACAAGCCCAAATAATGTCTTCGAGGTGAATGATTCTCTTTAAACGACTGCACCCTTACATTCTTTCATTGTTTACAAAAAATCCATGTCGATGTTGCCTTCGTAGCTTCAAGCAAAAACTTAAGATGCAGAAACAGAATGTAGAGCTTATAGCAATTTAACCATCTTGAATTTCAATGCTACAGCATTAATGTTTCATCTAAACTGGAAATCTAATCATAAATTATCATATCTTAATATCTACTTACCTCTTGTCTTCAGACAATTTCGCAACGATAATGAAGCCAATTTAGCGATTCGGTGATACACTAATAATCATTAAACATTTAAAATACACGACAAATTTCTATAGAGCAAACATGTTTAGGCATACTTTATGAGTATTGTGCTCCTACGAAATTGTACACCAATAATGTACAGCAACAATGTTAAAAAGCAAGCGTTCAATATTAATCTTGCAGCATGTGCTTCCATCTGTTCCGTTGATATGTCCATTGCAATTCAATTTTAGTAAAATATTTCTCAACTAATAAAGGAGAATTTTACAAAAATGATCCACGATGTATAACTTTTATACTTTTCACATTTTCTCAATCACCTATAACTTGATGAAATGTTACAAGTATAGAAAATTTTCTGTCCTCTATTCAAAATTCGTTACCGATATTGGTTTCTGCGACCCCCGCCCTCCTCCAAAAAAATTGACAGCGCGCATTGCACCATATTCTTGCCCTAGTGATGAATTATAACTTGTACAATAAACGATAAAAGAGCACAATGGAGAAAGTCTTTTTAGTGAAAACATATAAATATTATCATCATAAATTTTATTTTGACTGTCGTTACTGCAAACGTGTGACTTCTTGGGACTTTGGATATTTAAATATATATGGCAACAATTTTTCCTATTTTACGCTACTTACTTTTTGCTAGAAATGAGCACTTTTATTTCTGTTAATGAAATAATACAAATCATAGTCATATTACCAATTATCATGTTTATATTATAAAAAGAAAACTTTTAAATACTACGAAATGTCAAACATTAAATATATCCAAACGGATACCTGCTAAAAAGGAACGCTACAATCTTTCGAATTAAAACTCATTCATGTTATTCCAGTAATATTTTCCCTAAATAAACTTTTAGCTCAGACAACTCATCTAACATCTCGTTAAGTTATAAGAAGCATAAGCTCAAATCAAACTTTAAGCATCTTCATCGGAGATGCCTCTTTTTTCAGAGTACATGAAGAGAATCGGACCGTTTGAAATACAATTCATAAATTCTTGGTCATTGGCTCACTGGCAACTGGCAAAAGCAACAATTAAAATTCGGAGGTTATTTGCTGATTATTGATTGGAATTTTTATTTTCATTATCTGCTTCAAGTAATGGACAAAAAGGATGAAACATACTACGACAAACAAAGACATCTTGCAAACTCAACATAGCTATGAGCTCGATGGAAAAAAACAAGACACAATAATTCATTTGGTGATATTTTAAGTCTATAAATTGTCTCCTGGGAAATGTTAACAACAAATGCAATATAAAGAATTGCAGCATGTGCTTCAATCTGTTCCGTTGATATGTCCATTGCAATTCAATTTTAGTAAAATATTTCTCAACTAATAAAGGAGAATTTTATAAAAATGATCCACGATATATAACTTTTATACTTTTCACTTTTTCTCAATCACCTATAACTTGATGAAATGTTACAAGTATAGAAAAATTTTCTGTCCTCTATTCAAAATTCGTTACCGATATTGGTTTCTGCGACCCCCCCGCCCTCCTCCAACAAAAAAAATTGACAGCGCGCCACTGCACCATATGCTTGCCCTAGTGATGAACGATAACTTATACAATAAACGATAAAAGAGCACAATAGAGAAAGTCTTTTTAGTGAAAACATATAAATATTATCATTATAAATCTTATTTTGACTGTCGTTACTGCAAACGTGTGACTTCTCAGGACTTTGGATATTTAAATATATATGGCACCAATTTTTCTTATTTTACCCTAACTTTTTGCTAGAAATGAGCAGTTTTATTTTTGTTAATGAAATAATACAAATCATAATCATATTACCAATTATCATGTTTATATTATAAAAGGAAACTTTTAAATACTACGAAAATGTCAAATATTAAATATATCCAAACGGATACCTGCTTGAAAAGGAACGCTACAATCTTTCGAATTAAAACTCATTCATGTTATTCCAGTAATCTTTTCACTAAATAAACTCTTAGCTCAGACAAATCATCTACTATCTCGTTAAGTTAGAAGAAGCATAAACTCAAATCAAACTTTAAGCTTCTTCATCGGAGATGCCTCTCTTCTAAGAATACATGAAGAGAATTGGACCGTTTGAAATACAATTCATAAATTCTTGGTCAATGGCTCACTGACAATAGCAAAAGCAATAATTTAAAAATGTAGGTTATTTGCTGATTATTGAATGGAATTTTCAATTTCATTGTCTGCTTCAGGTAATGGACAAAAGGATGAAACATACTACGACAAACAAAGACATCTTGCAAACTCAACATAGCTATGAGTTCCATGGAAAAATCAAGACACAATAATTCATTTGGTGATATTTTGACTCTATAAATTGTCTCCTGGGAAATGTTAACAACAAATGCAATATAAAGAATCTAGGTCCGAATGAAAATTAAAAAACAAGTTACTTTAAAATCGGTTTCAATCTATAAAATAAACTAAGACAGAACAAGTAAATTTAATGTACTTCATAAAACCTCTAAACATCCATGTTTGAAGTTCAGAAGTTAGTTGTTTGAAAGTAGTGCAATTTTTTATGATATAACTTAGTTTATATAGCAATAACTGTTGATTGTTCTTTGCCTAAAATTTAAAAATTTCACCTAAAAAATTCGTATCTTTGCAAAATATATAAGATCAATGCAGATCACGATTCTGAGAAATAAACCAAATAATTTCTCCTTCAGCGTTTCAGTTTAAAATTAAGATTTATTTTTTAGAGATGATTTCTTATCTGTAGCTTGATCAAACATGACTACGCGACTACAAATAATCATCCAAGTTAGTCAGCTGAAATTTCAATTGAAACGTTGAATCATCAACGTTTACTTTGTGATTTGTAACTAACTCAAAATCCTAAAGTCGCCTTAAATCGTTGATGGATATCAGTGGCATACAAAACATGAGGACCTTGAGGGACATTATGAAACATGTACGTTTGGCGATAATTTATAACATGAAATCATTAGTACGTAACAATTAATGATTTCTAAACTATAATTATCACAAGACATAAATTCTATAGGGGTTGCTCCTTATACTACATTGGTGAAATCAGTTTAAATTGGCTTATAACTATTTGAAGCAAACAATGTGTAAAATGCTGTTTTCCCATGGTGTAGAGACTTTCATGTTGCTAACCATGGTGTAGAGACTTTCATGTTGCCAACCATGGTGTAGAAACTTGCATTGTGCCAACCATGGTGTAGAAACTTGCATTGTGCCAACCATGGTGTAGAAACTTGCATTGTGCCAACCATGGTGTAGAGAAACTTGCATTGTGCCAACCATGGTGTAGAAACTTACATTGTGTTGATCATGATGTATAGACTTGCTTTGTGCCAACCATGGTGTAGAAACTTGCATTGTGTTGATCATGATGTATAGACTTGCTTTGTGCCAACCATGGTGTAGAAACTTACATGGTGTTGATCATGGTGTAGAAACTTACATGGTGTTGATCATGATGTATAGACTTGCATTGTGCCAACCATGGTGTAGAAACTTACATTGTGTTAATCATGGTGTAGAAACTTACATTGTGGTAATCATGATGTATAGACTTGCTTTGTGCCAACCATGGTGTAGAAACTTGCATTGTGCCAACCATGGTGTAGAAACTTGCATTGTGCCAATCATGGTGTAGAAACTTACATGATGTTAATCATGATGTATAGACTTGCATTGTGCCAACC